GAGTTTCCTCTATAACCAATTGCCTTAGCGGAATAACTCAGTTTTTATGGATTTAATTTCTTAAGATTGTCAAGAAGAACCTGTTATAGCCTAAGTGTTGTTAAAAGTCAAGGAATCTTATCTTTAGAGTTCAATTTCCATGCAACTGGCCTAAACTAGATTTGCTTACTCGACTATTCCATCTGCGAAGATTATTATCATCACTGAACGCCTTAAACAAAAAATATAGTAATGTCATATGTAAAAGGATGCCTCATGTTGTCCGCACCTTATGAAAGGAAAATGTCACATTGGTTAATTGCAAGAGCATGGTACGGTGTTTGAGTGTATATTATGGGTAATGTCAAAGTCATTGTTTTAAATCATGTTACTTTTTCAGGGATTCATAACTTTGAACCATTTACAGAGCTTCTTAATTCAGTTGATATTCAAATAATTACAAGTTTTCAAATGTGATTCATTGCTCGTCATCATTAAAGTAACATAAATTTATTCAAATGTTCTTACAAAAACTTAATAAAAAATGAAAAGACAAACTCAAACAGAATGCCTCAAATGATGAAATGATCTGCCTCACTTGGATGACCCTGAGTTGTTGAAGTCGATCCAGTTCTTGTTATGTATTTTCTGTACGATTCTCTTGAATGTGGAGTAGTTCTCGATAGCGCGCCCTAGGACACCACTATGATATTCGCAATGAGCGTTCTCATCATACTACATGGGGTATGGGGCTTCATGGATTTCTCTGGATATGGTGACACCACATGTGCGTCAACAACTGTTGGTAAAGCTCCTTATATGTCATAGGATCGAAATGTTCTCATTTTTTATTAGACACGTGGATGTAATAAAAAAAGAGAAAAGTAATGTGAAATATGCAGAAATGCATGATGCATGCAATGTTCGAGGCATTGATCCAAAAAATGTGTCTGTTATTAGGAATAATCCTTATTGGGGACAAAAATATTTTATCTTTTAAGAGACAAAAATATCCTGACAGCTTCTGATATGTTGACTAGTCTTCTGCCTTTGTCTGTCACCGGTTGAATAACCTGTTGAACCGCTCTGGCTTCTTTGGATGAACCATGCAAATGACGAATTGTTTGCCCCAAAAAAAAGTCTCGAAGGACTGCACCTCCGGCTTCCACTCTCTGCTGAGTCTGTTCCCTAACGACAATACAATTGGAGCCCTCCATCGATAGAAACTATTCGAAGTTTTCTTCTTGAATTCGTCAGCAATGGTATTCAGCTCAGCTAGGGTTTCGCCATCTTGTTCTCGTAGTTTCGAAAGGAACGTCCGGGTCTGTAACCTTTTCGTCATTTTGCTCTGCAACATTTACCAGTCAGTTCTTCAAAGATAGACTTTCATTGTACTTGATGTAGACCCGGTTCATTCTGAGTCCTTTATAATGCAGCAGAGTGATATACTCTTCAATTGTGGGCACCACGTCTTCTGGATTGAATGTGACACATAGTCGCCTTGACTGTCCTCTGCATTTTCATCTCTTGTACTACATCCCATTTGTCCATTAATGCAGATTATTCACGTTTAACAAACACGTTTTTAGTGGATCAATACCTCTTAAATGATACGAATAATGAAAACAAAATGAAAGATAACAAAAAATAAAAAGAGTTAGTAAGGTAAATAAAAATAAAAATAATAAAAATGAAAAATCCTACCCCGTATGATATCTACCCCACATGCTTTAATTCCTACCCGGACATGATCTCTATTCCGTATGTTAATTTCAAACAAATCCTAAACCGCATATTTGTCTAGTTCGCATGTTTTGAACAGAAAGTAAAGCAAAAAATAATTCAGGCATCTAAGAGTTTGGAATGAGGCTTTGGGGTGGGCTCTAATTCCCTCTACTCTCCCGGTTTAGGTTCTAAAAAGGTACTCGAGTTCTCCTTGCCGGTGCCCCCTTGGGCTTGCCAGACCCTTAGTCCTAAGCCCATTACAAGCTTGTGTGGACTAAGTTAAACTCGAGAGGAAACATTCCCTTATGTCCGCACGGTGAATAAATTCACACGAAGGCGTCGCTTTTAACCCACTTAAATAGGGTTTGAAGCTCGGGTATAGAGCATGAGATGAAACTTTTTATTTAAAAAAAATTCTGAAATCATTGAAAAAAATATCAGTACAACTATTTACTTGAAAAATAATCAAAGGTAAATAATTTGAATCGAATAAATAAATTAAAATTTAAATTCACTATTTTCGCATAAAAAGACAACCGAAAATTAACTCTGGCCTGACTCACTTACCTGTCCCCAGCAGATTCGCCAAGCTGTCGGAACCGCCTTTCGGTTGGGCCCCGGAATTGGGCTTCGACTTGAATGACTTTGGGTTAGAGCCGCCACCGACCACTTTAAAACAAATTTAGGTGGGTCAGACACCATCTTACCTGATATGCGTTGTACTAGAAACGTGTCGGGTTCAGGAGTTAGTTACGATCAAGGAAGGATTAACACCCTTGAACCGCCCTTTCGGTACCAATTAATTTTTCGGTTGTCTTTATTTGCGAAAATTTAAATTTAAATTGAAATTCAAAAATTCAATCGAATTAATTACCTTTGATCTATTGAAAGTATCCCTAAAAAGTCAAAAGTGTTAGATTGTAAAAATGAAAATAAACATGAGAAAAAAATAAAAAATATTAATATAATAATATTAATAATAAATAAATATATATATAACAATGTAGAAAGAAATAAAATTATTAAAATTAGGAGAAAATGAAAAAAAATATATAAAGTAAATAAATAAAAAATGAAATAAAAAGAATAAGACAAAAGTTGTTACATTTCTCATGTTTTGCTAGTAGAGAAACTGGATTTGCAATGAAAATGCTCTGCCACTCCTCGTGCTTTTAGATACTGGCTTTGGATCCTCCACGCTTATTTTTGTCCTTTTCTTCCCTCGGTTTTTTCAAATCGTTGCCCCTTCCTCTGATTTTGATTCCACGTTTTTCTCTGTATCCTTTCCTCTTGATGCTTAATTCTATTTATAGTCTAAAGAAACCTATTTTTAGCTCAGATTTAGAGTCATACTTGGACTCAAATGCTTCGGTTTTAGTGTTTCAATAAGACTCAAATACGTTGATTTATTTTCTGAATTTTACTAAATCAGGGTTATTGAGTGTGGGGCCTGTAAAAATAATAATAATAATAATAATAATAAATAAATATAATATAATAAAATATTTTTGTAGATCCGGACAAAAACGGGTGTCTACATTAAGGAAATAATAAGAAAATTAAAAACTAGAGATCTTTAAAAATCAATTAATAAAATAAATTATTTCAAATAGTAATTATTAAATTCAACTACAAATATTAATATTTTTAATAATATAATTTTTATTAAATAATAAATTTAAATTCTAGGATTATCAGCAAGTATCAATGGCTTCGTTAAAATTATATCAACAATTTTGATTATAAGATAATATCCATTTAGAATATTTTTTAACCATTGATAACGCACATACATTCGCAAATGCTCAAAACTTCAAACTTAAGATATTTAGAGAGAATATCACGCTTTTTTTCTACTTAAATCGTTTGATGGTTTAGATTTTTATGATTATTAAATACAAAAAAAAAAAGATCTTTATGAAACAAAACGTCCGATCAACGTTAGGTTGAAGCAAGTAATCTCGCCACCTTTTGTTTTTTCCCTATTACCCTCTTCTTTATAGCAAAAGTGGACGCTGTGGTAAATAATTAGAATGTGTCTGGGGAGTCAATTTCTGTCATTCGTCAATGAAAATGGAAGGTATCTTCGGGTTCAATGAATTACTATAATGGAAAAAGGAAAAGATAGGAAATATGGCACATCCAACATGTCAAATGTGTCGTCCAAGTTGTGAATTTGGAACGTATTTTGATGTTAAAGTCCGCATGTATTTGTTGCAACTTGGGAGTAGAGGAAATGAAATGAGATTATCTGATATTTTGGAATAAAATCCAATAATTCAATTTTGTTTAAAATAATAAAAAGAATCAAAATTTAAATTATTCAATTTCTTAAATTAAGTTACATAAATAATTTGATATTTCGAGTTTAAACGGACTAAAAATGTTGTAATAACAACAATGTCGATGAAATTAAAATTGAATCCACTTTATTCTGTCATTGTGGGGGCAAATTTGGGGAATAACAGTCAAGTAAATGTAGCCCTTCATCCTCGAAGGGAAGTAGAAGTAGGTCTATTACAGGTATATCTAAAAATTCCAAAGCAGGACTTTGTGGTTAAACTTTGCTTTATGCATCATTGGTACTAGCATTATATGGACCGTCAATCAGGCACTAAATATACATTGTATACTTGCCTTATCTTCACATATCTTTCGGCGTGTTATCGACATCTTGTCCTGCATTTATGTCGCTTTTCAGTCCAAATTTGGCGAAGAGACCCCATCTGATAAGGCGAAGACAAATAGCTTTCCTAGACTGCATTAATAATGCCTGATTTTTTGTGACATGAACTAGCCAAGGTGTTCAGACCATTCGAGTCTTTGATGCTACTAATCATAATGCCTTGGCTCACTAAGCCTTGACTAATATGCCTCTATGCCTATTTTCTTTGGTGGTTGGACGTTGATAAAGTTGCTCGGGTTACTTCATCTGGTGACATGTCGCAAGAACAATGACATGCACATTCTAGAAACTACAATCTTTGAACATCACACGATACTTTGAGATCTATTGTTTGTTGTTTTCTTTGCAGCTGATCTGTCAACAAAGTAGCAGGTAAAACGAATATAACGGATGCTATACCAGTCATCAAGGTTCAGCCCCCACAGCAGGCGTGTTTCTAAAACAACATAAGTTTGGTGGAAAAGAAATTGAGGTTCTTAACATACTGTTGAACCATAATTTATCGGGGGCTGGTTTTGATGGTAAGAGTACATCCCGTGAGGGGGTTTAAGAATCTTGAGATATGGTTTGTTGAAGAAAATCGAGGCAAACTGCTCTAGTGGTGAAATAAGCTTCGAGTGTCGAAATTATGTGATCATCATAGGATCTACAACAGTCTACGAAAGGTTGACTGGTTTACCGCAAAGTTGCTCCAACTCACTTTCCAAGAGTTTCGACAAATTTGCTTTAGTTCGCCGATAAACCCAAGCTCGAACATTATGATCCCAGTCAAATCTGGATGGGCCACTGCACAGAAAACATTACATCACAAATAAAAAATGATAATTCATGAAATCTGAAAAAAATGGCATCATATATACTTCAAGAAACATGATTATCACAAAGAAATTAGATCAACATGCACAGAAAACATGATTATCACAAAGAAATTAGGTCAACATGCACAGAAGCACCTTATAATGAAGTGTCGGTAGCTAAACATTGTTGTCAGCTAAAGTACAAACACAAAATCATATGAATATTACAACAATAATCCTCTACGTCTAAGCTATCCCATTAAGAAGTAAACAATTCTTATCTTTGTAAAAAAAACAATTGAATAAAGGGTTCAAAGCTATTTGAATGTACCGATGTGTTCAAGGAAAGAAGAAATGTCACCAGTAGTAAATATCTTTGTTTTTCTTCAAATTAGAGGAACTTGATTCCCTATAATTCGTAGCCACATTTTTCATTTAGAGAAACAATGGCATTTAAGAAGTTACAAACTTTTTCCCAGCCTAGTGGTGGCCTCTATAGGGCAGACGAGAAAAAGAAAATGGCAACCGAAGATGACAAATAAGATATTGAATATTACGGAATCAGAGATACTATGATACGATGCCAACATTTAACAAGCACCCTTTGAAAGCTTTAACTCTAAAGAGCAGAATGGTTTTAAGTTCAAAATAACACATATATGATATCGATTAACTGCAAGGATGTTCATGAAGAACCCTGATTTATACTGCTAAAATTGTTCTACATTTCTGTCTTGAAGAGAGTATACAGTTTTAGTTTGAAAGTTTTGAGCAAACACCTTCTGATGTAATTAACAAATGCCTCCTCATAAGGCATAAAAGTCGTGTATCGAGTTTTATCTGTACAGCTGATTCTTTACAGCTATATACCCACCAGTGATCTAGAAGATTAGGGCCCACCACTTCACAAATTTTTACTCAAACAAGAATAAACCAGCTGAAATCTATTACATGAAAAGTTTAAAACATGATAATAACATTCTTCTGGCAACTAACGCAACTTCAGTATACACATCTGAAGTCTTGGAACTTGGGATAACCAAGTTAATAGCCATGTGATAACTACACCCCAACTCTTTGATTAACCTCGTCTTCCATCACTAAACAAAAAACAACTTATGTAATTTCTGTAAGTTCCGGGATAGGCAAGAGCTAAGATAATAACATTGAACTTTAATATACTCGACCTTAGTTGAGTCATGTATGCAATTTCATAGGAAAAATAAAATAAACTAAGCTATGAAGCAATGTGCCAAAGACTAAATAAGAATTATGACCAGATCAAGGAGAGTCAAATATAAAGAAAACAGCACCTTCAGTCCCAAAGAAGACAATGCAAAGTCCAAGCTTCACAAAACCAAATAATACAGAAGAATAGGAAACAAATATACCTTATAGGAGACGATAACCAAATTTGTCGATTAGGGGTCTGTTTATTCATCACATAGGTGCCCAGAGTCCCAAGTTTTAGTGTTAAAACTTCATTCTACTAAATCCAAGCAATGGGTTAACTTCCATAAAGAAGCCAAGTGATTTCCATGGCCAACAGATTTTAACACTTACCCCATAGTCGACATCGAAACCATCAAGTTCAACAACATCACCATATTCCTGCACACACCCAAAACTAAATTAAAACAAAAACAAAAAAAAGGTTAATTTAAAAGAAAATAAGAGTTAGCAACCTCTAATTTTTCTTGAAGATCATGGATTGTTGAATTAGCTAATCTGTGAAATTCATCTTCCGACAGAACCGAACTGTTACCACAGTAATCATTAGACTAAAAAGGGTCATAATGATTTCTTAATCAAAATTTTTACTAGGAAATTCGAAAGATAGAATATTTACCGGTAATCGATGGCTGCAGGTCCCTGAGAATCCTGGGGGAGGTTTAGAGGGCCGGAGCAAAAGCTTCTAGGAGAGGCGAATGTCCAAGGAGAAACATTAGGTGTCGAAATTTTTCGAAGAAGAAAACACAGAGCAAGTGAATGACGTGAAGAGCATAGGGGTGTCGACGGCGGAGCTTTGAGAAGTTTAGAGATTCTCCCGAGAAGAGGTAGCCTGGAAGCCATGGTTGATCAGCTCTGCTAGTCGCTAGTACAAAAGAGTAAAGACTGAACGCTAGTTAGGCTTTCATTTGTGTTCTTTTTTCTTCCATTCTTTTGGGCCATCCTCGGTAGATGAAATGATCCATAATCAATTTGGTCAATTTTACCTCTTTATTTTATTAAAAAAAATATATTGAGCAAACATATTATGTATATATATTTTTAATTATTATAGTATTGTACTTTATATATTATTAATAATAAAAAAAATAAAATTACAAGATATCATATTTAATATAGGGGTAAACTACATATTTAGTCACTCAACTATTTATGCAATTCTATTTTAGTCACCTAACTATTTTTTCATCAAAATTATGCCTAACGTTACGTTTTAATTTTATTTTAGTCACATGCCATTAAAAAATTAACAGAACTACTGAAATGTTCATAAGGTAATGGCATATCATCGTTAAAAAAAATAAAAATATCACATCAGCAGTTTTGTTAATTTTCTAACGAGTTACTAAAATGAAACTAAAACGTAACATTAAGTATAATTTTGAAGAAAAAAATTAGTTAGGTGACCAAAATGAAACTATATGAATAATTTGATGACTAAATACATAGTTTACCCTTAATATAAATAATATATAGTAAACTTTTTTAAAATTATGTATAATATTTTTTAATAAAAATATGTAGTGATAAAATAAAAGAAATTAAGAGTAATGTATTTAAATAATAGTCTAAAAGAGTTTAATGAACTTTATGGGCATTCATTTTGTTTGGCCCATCTCAGACCTTAACCCATGGCCCTGAGAAAAAGTTTGCAACAAGCCCACCCTAAAGCATAAATTTGGGTCGGGTGTGGGTCAGGATCCGTAAAGAATGTACTCGACATAATTCTCCTGCAAAACTAGTACCAGAATCGTGATCAGGGCAAAAAAAGAAAGTTGGTCAGAGCATTTTGGGAATTCCGATTGATGGCGACGATGTTCAATGATCATCGTTAAACCACGATGAACAGAAACAACAGTTCGCCGATTTCTAAATAGAAGACAAAGAGAAGAGCGACTATATAGCGAACAAAAAGGGGCGCGGGGGGGGGGGGGGGGGGGGGGGGGGGGGGGGGGGGGACTATTCAGATATCAAAACGATGACATTCTGAGGAATCTTTCTTGCACACTCGGCCCACTTTAAGAGGATCTACGTGCTTTTGAAAGTTTTGGGCCCTGTTTAATTGCCATTTTGACCCCTGTAGGTAATGTTTCTTATAATTTAGTCCTAACATGTTGATTAATTAACTTATTTTATCATTTTAGGATTATTTATTATAATTATTATGACTACATTTTTTTTATTTTTACTTGTTTTTATAAAAATGAGACAACATTCAATTCCTTATGAGGTACTAGTTTTGGACGTTGTGGAAGCGCTTTAATCTTCCTCACAAATAACTCTACTGATCTTGATTTCAATCCTGGTGTTATGCGCAAATCAAGTTTGAAAGTATTCAATCGCATCTAATCCAGAATGATCTACAACGATTTCAACCACGTGATGAGTTCTTCAAAGACTGAACACATTTAGACCACCACAAAATAATTTCAACGAACTTGTATACCAATATCTTTTTATGTTGAAAGAACTAAACATATGAATATTAATTAACGTCAATTTGGGGGTCAAAATTTATTTTTTTAAAGGGGCCAACACTCAATTGTAACATTATGGGGTCAATATATATATATATATATATATATATATATATATATATTCATTGTACTAACTTAAAATTTTTTAAAACTCTTAAAGGATTGAAATACAATTTTCTCTTTTTGGAGGATAATGCTATGTCCATAAATATTAATCACATCCTTAATTACATCACATTCTTTGCATTTATTTATTAATTATTTTTAATACAGTATCATAAAGGAGGAAGCCATTACCCATAAATATTAAATACATCCTTAATTATAGTTTTTATCAACTATTTTTAATATAATATTGCAAAAGAGAGGAAGTAAGTAGGGTAGTTATGTTGTACGACAACCTAATATAAGGCTAAAGAAATACATTACCGGAAATATTAATATTTTTTTAATATTTTCAGTAGAGCGCTATCTAAAATGTTGTTTTTTTACCGAAAATATTAATTTATCTACTTAAAATGAATATTTATGATATTAATATTTTTTGATATAAAAAATAATATTTTAGATAGTACCCGATATTAATATTTTCAGTAAAAAAATAACATTTTAGATATTATTTTACCAAAATTATTTAAAAAATATTAATATTTACGGTAGCTCGTTTTATTAACATTATATTAAGTTCATTTCATTAGACATTCAAATAAGTAAGGAAGTAGTAGTTGAACTATAAATAGGATTGCTAATAAAGACATTTGTTAGATGATTGCATGCAGAATATCTTCCACTTGTTAAGTTGTAATTAATGCTTGACATGCTACATCTCTTTCCATTCTTCCTTCGGTTTTTAATGGTTTTGTTCATTTGCATTGCGCCCTATAATCAGAGACAGGGTCAAAATCATATTTAATAAAAATAAATATTTTTTTAAAAAATATTAAATTAGTATATATTTAGGTTTTAGAAGTATATAATATCATTAAAATTTAAAAATTGAATATATGTCTCTCTCCGTACCTACATAATTTTATTATTATTTATAAATTTTACCAACAATCAACTAATTTAATAAGATAAAATATTAATCTTTTAAATAAGAACGGAAATTTTAATTTTGACATCGTAAATGGAGTTAATTGAGTTAAGAGAATTATCTTCATAATAAATATTTCCTCAATTAAATCAACCAACAACAAGTGTTTCTTGGACGACGATGTCCTCTACTCTACTGTAGGTGGTGGAGTATTGAAAATTAAATCATCCAAAATTATTATCTACGTGCTTTTAACAAAGTATCCGTTACATGATTATGTTCGATTTTAAAACATAAAAATCTATCCATAAAATTTTAGATTTATTACCATAATAATGATATTAACTATTATTTTTGTCGATTAATATGGAGTAAATACAATGTGAGGGGTGACGTTGGTAAGCAGTTGTGAAGGTGAAAGGGTTTGTTAGAGCAGTTAGGAAGTTAATACTTGCATATAAGGTTGTAAACAGATTGTTGAATTACTAAAGCTTTCTTATCATTTCATATTTGTTCAACTATTACCACAGTACTTACTATCTTTACAAACAAGATACTATCTTTTGATTATTCTCATAGTTTAACATTGTCTAATAAATTTTATATGTAGTTATATCTCATTTAAAATTTTGATTATTCTCAATTTTAAATATAATATAAATTTGTATAATTAAAAAAATATATGACTAAATTATTCACCAATAATTTGTGGGGCATTTTTGTAATTTAGAAGTCCAAAGAGGGACAATTTCCTCTTTCTTTTTTAATTTTTTTTTTGTATTTATTTCAGCTGCCCAAAAGGAAAATGAACCGTTCTTTCCTTTGTTTTTTCTCTCTCTCTCATCCTTTCACTTGTGGATGTTAAAAATATATAAAATTTAATAAATAAATAGAACAAAAAAGAACAAAAATCAAGGCCATTGATTTGTGTTATAAAAATCAGTGCAAAAGCTTAGGGTTAGCATCATAGCTTAACCTTACGCCGTTCATTCAAAGGTACAAAGCTGTACGTGGTTTCACAAGTTTATAGCTAACAAATACAAAAAGTAATAAACAGGAAGCAACGTGCCTTGTTTTTTATTGTCTTCTTTCTTTCTATCTTTCTAGTTGAAGCAATCAGCCTCTCACGTTTTTAAGAAAAGAATAAGAGTTCCTTGCTTGAAATAATCTGGCTATTGAGAGGTAAGATTTTTGGGTTAATAATTCCTTTTGTGCTGTCTTTCAAGATGAATAAACTAATGGGTCTTTATTTTTTTCATGCGATTTGGGTGGTTTTCCTTCTTGGGTGTTTTCATGAATGGTTGGTTTTGAATGTTCTTTCGTGTTCCCTGTGATAACTCTGTTTTCATTGTGGCAATTAGATGTGGATCTTTGTTTGTTCTGAATCATCCGCCTTTGTTTTCTGGGTTCATGTTTGCTTGGAACGAGGGCAAGGCAAACGAATGATGGGATTAAGTTATTTTGATTTTCTTTAGATTAGTTTCCATTGGGATTTTATTTGAACCTAAAAGGTAGCTGATTGGGTTTGTGTTCATATGTTCGATATGAAATCTAATTAATTATCTGTTCATTGTTTGACCATTGGTTTTGGTCGTATTTGGTGTGCAATCCTGTTGACTGGTCTTCTCCTTCATAGCTTGATTTTATCTCTCGTTCCTTTATCTGAAGATTTTGTTCTGGATTTGTAATTGATGTGCTTGAGGATGTTCGATTGCCTTGAATGAATATACTGAATAAAAGTGGAATCTTGCTAGAATCAAAGAATACCATTTGACAAAGAAGAATTTGGAAGTTTCCTTTTGTTTTTCTCCCAATTCATTTTGACAGAGAAGCATTGTAATCTGATTGTCTATTCTGTTTTGATTGTTAAAATATATGTTGTGATTCTTCCATCTAGAGGCTAACAATCCGACATTGTCATGTTATCTTCGTTATCGTCGTTACTTGGCCTAAACTCTTCTGCTTCGATATCTACTTTGTAGGTTATATGATCCTTTCCCTCCATTTTATTGTCAGGCAGGCTGGTGTCTCTTATTCTTGTTAGGGATTCTATTTTCCTAGTTGTAAAAGATTCTTTTTCACTCTGGCCGCTGCAACGAAACTGAAATTTTCTCGCACCTCAAGGTGGGTGTGGGGGGACAAAAGAGAGCTGATTCTGCTGTGTGTTTTAAGGAGATCAAGATCATCCCATATCTGGAGACTGCGACGTGTTTCGGAGGGTCTTTCGCTTGATTATGGCTAATGTCAGTATTTGCTAAAATACCTTGAAGTTTGATTACCAGCTTGTCACTTTTTTTACAGCAGTAGAATTAGGTGTTTTCCTCCAGATTTTGAACCTTAATGATTACAGTAGTTTTAAGCTTATAGCTTCTATGTAACACAAAAGGTAGGTCTTGTGTGGATGTAGTGTTAATCTGCATCACCACGATGGTTAGATTTTCATGCTTCAATGCTCACATCGGAAGCCAGAAACCAAAGGTAAGTCCGCAAATTGCGTCTGGTTTTTGAAAACTTCGTTTTCAGTTAAACTTGGGTTGTATACTCTAGTGTTTCCTGACTCGAGTATCCACTTGGCCATCAGAAAACAGTTCAGCCATCTGTTGAAGCTTTGTATACGACTTTAGAAGATTTTTCTCAAGTTCAAGCCCCTAAGAATACGACTAAAGCTACAAACATGGAGTCATTATTGCCAGAGGTAGAAACAACTGCTGAGATTCATGACCGTGTCAAACCTGTTACAGATTCTTCTTCTATTTACCATAGTTGGAAGTCATTTGAAATAAAAGACAAAACCAATCTTGATAGTGGTCCCATGGCCATTCAGAATCTGCACAATATTAAGAAGAGTCTGTCCCTTGGAAGTGGACTTTGCCTGGAGGGAAGAGTTCCTCGACAAATTGACATGGATGACGAGACTGATCAAGGATTTTCTTCTGATTTCCATGACCATGGGTTGGTTGAAGATGGCAAAAAACATACAGTTGTGAGCCAAAATGCTCCGTGCTCAGATTCTGTTCAAGTAAGCTCTAACCATGTCAATATTGAGTCAGTTTTCTCTATAGGAGATCCTCAGCTTTCAGAAAAGGATTGCCATAATTTCTCAAATTTACCTTTGCTTTATGAGCATGCAAATGACTCTGGTTACCACACACCCAATAATGCACCTGTGATCGTAAAATCATGTTCGATGCCAAACATTGCTGCATCGACACTCATTTCTGGAGTACTTTCTCCTAAATATTTGACTCATCGTACAAGATCCTCTGAGGATGTACATGTTCTCAGTTTGAGAAGAAAAGAGATTTTAATTCATGATGTTGATACCGAAGCAATGCGAGAACAAGAAAGAGATTATGGCATGCATAAGAATCATAAAACTAACTTTGAAAGCTCTTATGAGGGATATGAATCTTATAGCTGTTCTGCATCAGCAAAAGACTGGATAGTGCCAGTTTCAGATGAAGTGAAAATCCAGCATGAACTGCGGGCTCTGAATCAGAATGAATCGACTGGCAAGGATTTTAAGATTAAGCGAATTGAGGATTGGGTAAATGATCTTCAACACGTGGAATCATCCGAAGACACATTTGAATTATCCCACCCCGAGGATCAGGTGAAAGTGGAACCGGATGTCTCAAATGGTTTGACTGCTGCAAAGGTGGATGTTAAGGCAAGTCCTGAGATGGAAGCTGCTAAAAGATACATATCTTCTTTGAGTGCATTGGCAACCACCGCTCAACTGGCAAATCATAGCTTGGTTGTTATACCATTTCTTAGTGGATTTGTCAGCTTGAAGGTGCTTAATCTATCAGGAAATGCAATAGGCAAGTATCTTCAACTGCAAATATTATTAGTACTGTATTTATTTTCTATTTTGACGTCTTTTTAAGTCTTATGATTAGGAGTATGTGGAACTGTTCTTTTGTATGAGTATGCTTTCTCAATATCTCTGTGTGTACTACAGCAAGGATCACTGCTGGTGCTCTTCCTCGAGGACTTCACATGTTGGATCTGTCAAGGAATAATATATCCACCATCGAGGGTTTACGTGAACTTACTCGACTTCGTGTGCTGAATCTAAGCTACAACCGGATATTTAGAATCGGTCATGGTATGCGAGGCAAACTGCAACTTGTTAGCTGTTCTATTTTCTTTGCTATACTCTTTAGCTTCCAATATTTTTGTTCTTGTAAATCTACTTTGACGCATAATTCATTGTAGGTTTGGCTTCTTGTTCCTCTCTTAAGGAGTTGTACTTGGCTGGAAACAAGATAAGCGAGGTTGAGGGTCTTCATCGTCTCTTAAAATTGACGGTTTTGGATCTGCGTTTCAACAAAATCTCTACTGCCAAATGTCTCGGCCAACTCGCAGCAAACTATAAGTCCTTGCAAGCCATCAGCTTGGAAGGTAACCCGGCACAGAAGAATGTAGGAGATGAATATCTGAAGAAGCATTTGCAGGGCCTTCTTCCGAATTTGATTTACTTTAATCGGAAGGCTATTAAAGTGAAGGATGCTGCAGAACGATCAGTAAGGCTAGGCATCAGTAGTCATCAATTTGATCGCGGCCATAGATCAGAACACAGAGTTACAAGGAAGAATAACCATGGCACTGCCCGTGCATCCTCTTCATCTCACAGAAGTCAAGCCACGGCTTCCCCAATGCAGTCCGGAGGCAGGCACGGGCGCCACCCTCTTCCTAGCGGGAAGAAGGCTACTACCAATCATCGGAATCATTACGTAGATCTTGATAGCAAACTTCTGAGCTTTAAATTGGAGGCTTCCATGCGAAGGGCCCAAAGCGAGGGAAGTCTGGGGCAACTGTGAAATCAGTTGCTTAGCTTCTGGGGCAACTGTGAAATCAGTTGCTTAGCTATGCTGTGTGGTTTTAGACTATTTGATATTCGAGTTTTGTTCGCAATAAATTGTCACTCAAGATATCTGCTGTGACCAGGCATTTTTAGAATGGATTTGCCACAATGGGATGGAAGTTCTTACAGTTCTTCCTTTATTTTCTTATATCATGTATGTGTGAAAAACAGATAATGTTCTGTATCGCCCTTTCCTGTTCTTGTTAAATTCATAAGTTCCTGCTTTCTCTCATTAGTTACTGAAATAGAAGCAAAACTATCAAAATCTGTTGTCAAATATCAGCCAGGTTTGCATCTGCAGAAGTTCAGGTATCTACTGCAGAGGCTGCAGACCCCTGATGCCCTATCCAACGATATGGTCACTTGGTCCATAATTATGCTACATTACTAAGAATGCAAAACTATGTGGATTCACCTACGATATCATTAACATGCTTTGGAAAGGTGAAAGGCTTATTACTAAGAAACGAAGAGAGAAACGAGTGCAGCAAACCATATACATAGGCATTGAACAGTTAATTATCGAAACAAAGCAATTAACAGGAAGTACAGAGAAAAAACCTAGAGTTCTACTACTATCCATCTGTACAAAGCATAAAGATCATCACCACACAACATTTCCACACTTCTTTTGCCACCACAAAGTCATCAAATTTCAGATTGCTTTTCATCCTTTGCTGCAATATTAATCCAGGGACCATATCAGTAATCAATCATCCACATCAGTAATTCAAAAATAAAAGCCAGCACTTAGGCTTTGCTTGGTATGAAAGACGGAAATGAGAAAGGATAAAAAATTTATTAATCAAATGCTTTTGTAACCACTTTCTTACTTCGTAGCTTAACCATTTGATTAAAAAGTTTTCCATCCTCGCTCATTTCCCTCATTTTCATCTTCTATGCCAAGCAGAGGAGGTCACTCGGGGGAAAGCCAAACTATAAGTTTGAAAACTGCAAATAATGCATCAAATCCTACATGATTAATACAGGTTTTTTACACTAGTTACGACGAGTTCAGTCTCTGCTGCCACGAAGAAGAAATTTGAAGGGGTGAAGGGAAAGAGTGAAAGGGTCCTGAAAAGATTACAGCTTGGAGCCATATTATTAAGTTACCTGAATAAGAAGGCTTTCGTTGTTGCTTCCGAGTCATAACAAGCATCTGCTATCAAGAAATATGAACCAATGAGACAGAATTTTAATAGTAAAATACATAATTGTTTAACTTAAAGAATAAAAAGTTCTTATAAATACTGATCTCTTGCATGTTTCTACAGCTCTAGGAACAATTGTAACACCAAAAACATCATGCAAGGTCTAAACCCTAAAGTATTATGTGTTCACTTCATACACTGAATTTAGCACAGCCCTCAGCAACTAAGGAAAACCTCGTTTCAGGCTGCAACTTCTTGGTTCTTGCTTCTCATTAGTCATAATTATATTCTGTCCTGATTTTAGCTTACTGTTTTTTGAACTTTTAATCAGCATTTCATCATGATCATAGAGCCAAAGACTAAATTACATAGTGAACCGGTTGATTACCATTTAACAAAATCAAAATCAATCACAAATTCGGAAACCCAGACCTGTATGCCCCTCCTCTGCATCATGGTACACTGGTTCCTCTTCAGGCACAGGCTGCAGCTTCACATCTTCTCCAACAATGCTCTTCTTCGTCACCCCGTTATCTTCCTCCTCTGGGTACCGGACCACCACCACCGGACAAATGCAGTGTTGGATTCAATAATCGCTAACGCTTCCTAGCCTTCTGCTCCCCATGATCACCGCACTCAACCCTAACCTCTCCACTTCCAAACACAACCTCTCTTTCATGTCATGGTCTTTTACTATGTGGATTTTAAATGGAACCTGAGCATCCACCAACGGCTGCGCCAGCGTATTCGCCTTCGTCGCGGTGAAGATGTCAAAATCGTTCTCGAGCTTCTGCTGCGACTCCTCGTCCGGGTGCTCGTCGCTGATTGCGGTGGCGCTTTCGTGATTATTAGTGGAGTTAGGGTTGATTTGGAGTTTGATGGAGCCCCAGTCGGCTCCGTAAAGGACGGATGTCGGGCGGACGTGGAGGAGGACGACGGAGTCTCTCGGACGAAGGTAATTCTGAACTGCCCATCGAACGGCGTAAGCACTCTCGTCGCTTAAATCGATGGCGATGGCGACGCGGGCTGGGCACCGGAGACGGGGGTGGTCAAAGGGACACGTGGAGAAGTGGGTTGGATTCGCAGCGGAGCCAGGGAGGGAACATGGAGGTCCGGCTCCGATTGCTGGAGGTGTTGCGGATCCATCTGAAGATAAGATTTGGTGGGAAACTGAAGAATCAGTTGACCTCTTTGGGCTTTGGCAAAGTGAAAATCAGAGAGATATCGGCGAACTCTCAGAAATGCTGACACCTATTTCCCCTCTTATGTAAACTATGTTCCTACGCCAACCTTTTTCGCTTGAATGCTTCCTGGTGGCAAGCTTAGCTTTAATAAACGAACCAATCAAAGTCAGCTTCTTACATCATGGAAAAATTCAGAAGATCCTGCTCCGGGTGTCTTCTCTATCGAGCTAGATCCCGCTGGAACCAATTCATTTATTGTTCGGTGGAATGGGATCAGGCTGTTTTGGTCGAGTGGACCTAGGCATGAATAGTCGAGGATTTTCAGTTTTCATTCAGATGAAAACGAAAATTATTCTAGTTATTACCTCAATGCTTCGGAGACCCTATCTCGTTTCATTATGGATTATTCGGGGCAGATTAAGCAATTGTCATGGTCGGAACGTAGTCGGCAGTGGAATGACAACAATGCCAGGTTTATGCTCTTTGTGGGGCTTTTAGCGCCTGCAATGACAATAACTATGTGGCTTGTCATTGTCTGCCGGGCTTTCAGCCAGCCTCTGAACACAACTGGAACAATCAGGATTATTCTGAAGGGTGTGTAAGGAAGACCAAACTGCAGTGCGACAATGCTAGTGTTGTTGGTATCGGAAGAGGGGACCGATTTCTTGAAAGCCGCTGCTCAACTTTCCCTGAACAAAATAAAATGGTTTTCAGCGGTGTGGGATGCGAATCGACCTGCCTAGAATTTTGTTCTCGTACAGCTTACGCTTTTGAGAACAATCAATGCTCGATTTGGATTGGAGATCTCTTGAATCTGCAACTACTTGGACAAGATGATAACACCCCAGGTAAAACTGTATATCAAGTTGGCGGCTTCTGAATTTGCTAGTGAAATTAGTCCCACAAATAAGAAGTCAGTGATTGTTGTTGTTGCAATTGCGTTTTCTGCAGGACGACTCCTTTTAGGCCTTATGATGTTCATAATCTTGAAAGCGAGGAGGAGAACAAGTATCAGTACAGAATCAGCATCAGGTTCACTCGTCATTTTTGGATATGGAGATTTAGAGAAGGCAACCAAAAACTTCTCCGAAAAACTGGGAAAAGGAGGCTTCGGTACTGCTTTCAAGGGAACTTTGCCAGATGGAAGTATTATAGCTGTGAAGAAGCTTGAGAGCATCAATCAGGGAGAGAAACAATTTTGTGCAGAAATTCGGTACAATCAGAAAGATCAACCATGTAAATCTAGTTCGTCTTCGTGGCTTCTGCTATGAGGGTTCAAAAAAGTTGTTGGTATACGATTTCGTTCCAAAAGGATCTTTGGACAGACATCTTTTCCATGCAAAAGATTCAGAATCTCTAGATTGGAAAACAAGATATCAAAATTGCACTTGGTGCAGCAAGAGGCTTGGCTTATCTCCATGAGAATTGTGTAGACAATATCATTCACTGCGACATCAAGCCAGAAAACATTCTTTTAGATGTCGACAGTTGTTCGAAATTGGCAGATTTTGGCCTAGCAAAGCTTGTAGGACGAGAGTTTATAGCCGGGTCCTAACCACCATGAGAGGGACAGTGGGTTTTCTTGCACCAGAGTGGATTTTAGGAGTGGCTATAACAACCAAAGCTGATGTTTACAGCTTTGGAATGATGCTTTTGGAGCTTGTTTCGGGAAGGAGAAACTTCGAACACACTAGTGATGAAGAAAGTACACCCTTTCCGGTTTGGGCTGCTCAGCAAGTGAGTGAAGGCAATGATCTCCTCAAACTCTTAGACAACAGGCTGAATGGAAATGCCGATTTAGAAGAGCTGTGTAGAACTTGTAAAGTAGCTTGTTGATGTATCCAAGATCATGAAATACAAAGACCATCAGATCCTAGAAGGAATTTTGGATGTAAACCTGCCTCCAATTCCTCGATTTCTGCAATATATCAGTAATGAAGAGAAGAACATATTCATCTTCACCGACGCAACCATAAGCGTCAGTTGAGAGGCACATGCCATGCTTTAGCTTTTGCTGCTCCAAGTAGCAGCTTTTGCCTTTGTTTTAGCTTTTGTTGTTCACCTTTGATGCCCAAACTATTCTTACAAGTTTCAGTTTCTTGATGGTAAGACTCATAGGTAGCAGAAATATGAATTCGCTGGTTGTTTCCTTCCTGTTGACATGTCTCTATTTTCTTTCTTTTTTTATGATTTGAATATTTTTTTAATTCCTTCTCATGACTGCCACTGATGCTTTCCGAGTCTAAATTTTATTCCAATTCTCGACAATCATAATTTGTAAGTCTTCTGCTGAATTTTATTATGAATTTGAATTTCCATTCTACAGAGTCTAAATTCATTTTCTTATAAGACTAACTTTTCTAGAGAGAGATATAGTTCGACATAGACTTCCTAGTAAGATGAGACAAAACATACGTAAATTATACACTAAAATTATTATGAATTAAAATTTATTTTATTTAAGCTAATATCAATTTCTTCTAAAATAAAATAAATGTATTATATCTAAAGATCAACAACAACAAACTGTTACAAAGGACTAGAACATCTCACAGAAAATGATACTCAACTAAATATACCTCAATTTATACAAAATTTCTCACTAATAAAACTACTAAAAACCCTCTTATTTTTTTTCAAATGCAGTAAATACAAGCATTGCCAGAATTAGAATTATTATTTATAATTGTCAATTAATAATTTTCAATAATCAGGGAATAGTATTTTGCAAATTGTGAGATGGGAAGAATACGCGGTCCAATCACGTTCAAGGTTGATCCTTTAAGAAAAAAACCAATCTCTTTGACATTTCTCCTATTTTATTTATTAGGGTAAACTACACAGGAGACCACTAAACTATGGTCAAAAATCAATTTGATCATCGAAGTTTCAATTGAATCAATCAGACCACCTAACTATTTAAATATTTCAATCAAGCCACTGGCCGGTAATTTTTAACGGAGGTGATGACGTGGCCGTTAAAATATTTTGGTATAATTCACAATTGATTCTTATAACCTATATATTCTTTCAATTTGATCCTAATTTTAATAAATTAAAATAAATTTAACCATCGAATTAGGAGGTGTCATGTGTCACCCTCTGGTTGAAAGAAAATAAATATTCACAAAAGGTGGGTGAGAGGAATTGAACCCAAGCCGCTTGGCAAGAATATTAGAAATCAAATCATTGAGTTACGGTAACCATTTGTTATATTTTGGACAACAAATAATATATATTGTACCTTAATATATAAATGATTTACTTAAAATTAAAGAATATTTTGTATATCTTAAATTTTAAAATTATCTTTTATTTTTTTTAACTTATTAAATATATTTTATTTTTTCTTAACATATTAAATATATTTATTTTTATTTTAATGTAAAAATATATATTGTATCTTTATCATCACTTAAAAATATATATTTTAAAATATTTTAACTTAAAACATGTTTAAATATATATATTTTTATATTAAATTAATATATATATTTTATATTATATTAAATTAATATATATTTAAATATATATTTTTATTATATTAAATTAATATATTTATATATTTTTTTTATATTAAATTAATAATAAAATATATATTTTTATATTAATTTAAAATATATTTTTAAAATATTTTAACTTAAAATATAAATTTTATCTTTATCATCAGTTAAAATTTATTTGACAAAATACCTTAACTTAAAATATATTTAAATATTTTATTATTAATTTAATATAAATATATATATTTTATTATTAATTTAATATAAAAAATATATATTTAAATATATTTTAAGTTAAAATATTTTAAAAAATATTTTTAAGTGATGACAAAGATAAAATATATATTTTTACATTAAAATAAAAATAAATATATTTAATAAGTTAAGAAAAATAAAATATATTTAATAAGTTAAAACAAAAATAAAAGATAATTTTAAATTTTAAGATATATAAAATATTATTTAATTTTGAGTAAAACATTTATATATTAAGGTACAATATATATATATTATTTGTTGTCCAAAGCATATCAAATGATTGCCTTAGCTCAATAGTTTGATTTCTAATATTCCAGCCAAGTAACCTGAGCTCAATTCTTCTCACCCACCTTTTGTGCGGATGTATTTTCTTTAAACCAGAGGGTGACACATGTTACCCTCTGATTGGAGGAAAATAAATCTATTAAATTAAAAATAAATTAAAATAAATTTAGTCATCAAATCGAATAAAAACAGATGTCATGACATGTTTCACCAATGACACGTGACCCTCCTGATTCAATGGTTAAGTTTATTTTAATTTATTAAAATTAGGATCAAATTGAAAGAATATATAAGTTATAGAGATCAATTGCGAATTATACCAAAATGTTTTAACGGCCACGTCACCAACTCTTTAAAAAGTAACGGTCGGTGGCTTGATTGAAATATTTAAATAGTTTGGTGGTTTGATTGATTCAATTGAAATTTCGGTGGTCAAATTGATTTTTTACCATAGTTTAGTGTTCTCCATGTAGTTTACCCTATTTATTATCATTGGAGGATGATGAATGATATCTGAAGGGATGGGCATAAGACCCGAACTCGACATGTTTACGACTCGATTTCTTTTTTAAAAAAAAAAATTGGGTTCGGGTCGGGTCAAATTCGGGTTTAGGGTGAAAATACTTGACTCGACCATGAAAAAATAAGTTTATCTTATATATTTAGGAATAACTACAATAATACCTCTCTATATATTATTTTTTCAACTATATCACTATTTTATTGAATAAAAATAATATTTTTTATTATTTCGAGTCGTGTTTTGATTTTATTTTAAAAAGTCGGGTCGGATCAAATCAGGTGGAGGGTATATATTATGCTGGTCGGATTGACCAAAAATTTGACCGAACCCGACCCATGTCCGTTCCTAGATATCTGTGAGAGAAAAGGATTTTCCAGGTTACTAAAATTCCCATGTCCCATGTTCAGCAAGGATGAAAAACAAAGGCCATAGTTGTCTTCTTTGACAAGTAAAACTACCCCGGTTTAGCCGTCAGCCCGTCACTTCCACAGACATGTTTTTCTTCATTTAAGATTGCTGTTATCATAGCTACCGAGAAACACAACGCTTAATCGCTGTGAAGTATCTTGCATTTGTAGCCATGAAGATCGAGAACATCAATCCCAGGTGGTTCAAGTTTTCAGTGTTGTTCTTGTTCATGTGTTTGTCTCATGAATCCCATGTCTGCTTTGCAGTTGATACCATCTCCACTAACCAATCTCTTTCTGGCAACCAAACCATTGTCTCAGCTGGCGGAGTCTTCGAGCTTGGTTTCTTCAGATCGGGAAATTCCTTCAACTATTATATAGGGACGTGGTACAAGAAGGTCTCCCGGTTCACTCCAGTTTGGATTGCAAACAGAGAAAAACCAGTCCATGATATATATTCTTCGGTTTTGAAAATCTCTGATGGTAACTTGGTTCTGTTCAACGAGTCCCGAGTGCCAATTTGGTCTACAAATGTAAGCTCCGGCCCAGCCATCTCGAGTTCAGTAGTAGCAGTGCTTTTGGACGACGGAAATCTTGTTTTGCGAGACGGACTGAATTCGATTTCGTCGACGATACTGTGGCAAAGTTTTGATCATCCAACAGACACCTGGCTGCCGGGAAGTAAGCTTAGATTCAATAAACGAACCAATCAAAGCCAACGTATTATTTCATGGAGAAGTCATGATGATCCTGCACCAGGTCTATACTCTCTTGAGATAGATCCAGTAGAAGCTAATCATATTGTTATGGTATGGAACAGGTCCCGACCTTACTGGACCAGTGGAGCTTGGGATCAACAGACAATGAGCTTCAGCTTAGTTCCAGAAATGAGAATGGCATCACTGTCGAATTCGACCTACAACTTCATCTATTTTTCAGAAGAGAATGAAAGCTATTTCCTTTATTATTTTTATAATTCTTCTACTACAGCTAAACTTTTCATGGATGTGTCGGGACAGCTTCAGCAGATGTCATGGTTGGAAGATATGGAGCAGTGGATGGTGCAATTTTCACAACCAAGACAGCAATGTGGGGTATATGCTTTGTGTGGGGCTTTTGGCAGCTGCAATGAGATAGGTCTACCTTTCTGTAGTTGTTTGAGAGGTTTCCATCCCAAATCGGAAACCAATTGGAATCTGAGCGATTTTTCCGATGGGTGTGAGAGGACAACCAGGCTGCAATGCGAGGAGGATCCGAACTTTGTTACCGGAAAGACCGATAAATTCCTGGAAAGTCCCAATGTAAAATTGCCTGAACGTGCACAGGCTATGAGCGTTGGGAGCATGTTGGAATGTGAATCCGCTTGCCTTGAGTATTGCAATTGCACTGCTTATGCTTATGATAGTGATGGCTGTCGAATTTGGATGACAGAACTCTTGGATCTGCAACAATATTCGGGGGATACTAGCGATGGCAGAACTATATATATCCGATTAGCGGCATCTGAGTTTCGGAGTTCGAGCAACAATAATGGGATCATTATTGGAGCAGTTGCAGGGGGGGTTGGTTTAGTCCTATGCCTTGTGATATTTGCAATCTTGAGATGGAGGAGGCGGAGAATGATAAATCCGACAGTTGAAGGTTCGCTTCTAGCTTTTGGATATCGGGATTTACAGAGTGCAACGAAGAATTTTTCTGAAAAACTTGGGGGAGGAGGTTTCGGTTCCGTTTTCAAAGGAAGGCTGCCGGACTCGAGTATCATAGCAGTGAAACAGCTTGAGGGCATCAGTCAGGGAGAGAAGCAGTTTCGGTCAGAAGTGAGCACGATCGGGACTGTTCAACATGTTAATCTAGTACGGCTTCGTGGATTCTGCTCCGAAGGTATGAGGAAGTTGTTGGTCTACGATTACATGCCGAATGGTTCTTTGGATGCCCATTTGTTCCTTGAAGATAATTCTAAACCCCTAGCTTGGAAAACAAGGTACCAGATTGCACTCGGCACGGCTAGAGGCTTAACTTATCTTCACGAGAAATGCAGAGATTGTATTATTCATTGCGACATCAAGCCGGAGAACATTCTTTTGGATGCCGAACTCTGTCCCAAAGTCGCAGATTTCGGCCTGGCAAAGCTCATCGGTCGGGAGTTCAGCAGGGTCCTGACAACTATGAGAGGCACAAGAGGCTATATTGCACCAGAGTGGATTTCTGGAGTCGCCATTACAGCTAAAGCCGATGTCTACAGCTACGGGATGATGCTGTTTGAGATTGTATCGGGTAGGAGAAACTCTGAACAGAATGAAGAAGGAAAGGTTGGATTCTTTCCAACTTCAGTCGCTCGCGCAATAACCCAAGACGGTGATGTCCTTAGCCTATTAGACCCCGGATTGAATGAAGATGCTCCCGTCGACGAGATATCGAGAATATGTAAAGTGGCGTGTTGGTGTGTCCAAGATGATGAAACTCACAGGCCTTCAATGGGTCAGGTCGTTCAGATCCTAGAGGGTGTTTTGGACGTGAACGTGCCTCCGGTTCCAAGGTCCCTACTAGTGCTCGCAAACAACACGGAGCATATAATCTTCTTCACAGAGTCATCTTCAAGCCCGAGTTCACAAACACCGAGCAACTCTTCAAATGCGTCTTCTTAAGCTTAGAGCAACACATCATCGATGAGTTCATGAATCTCGAACAACTTTGTCTTTGAAATAAGTTAAGGTAGTTAGGTTTGTTCACGTTAATATATACAAATCCAGTGTTATTTTTCCATTAGTTTCCTGATACGCAAGCCACTGTCATTAATAATTATACCACAAGCTATCAAAACTATATTAATTAAAATGTATAAAATTATTCCATTATTGGAGTTCGGTGCATCACTGGCCTTAACATCGTTTAAGCTCAGATGAGCTACTATGATCACATGGCTAAATTAATAAATTAAATATGTTTAAATATTAGTAATACTTCTATTAATTTAAAAAGAAAATTGAACGCTAGAAAGAGGGCTTGAGCCTCCGACCATTTGGTTAACAGCCACACGCACTAACCATCTGAGCTATTTCAGCCGTACTATTCCACAATAAATAATTGCAGATTAGAAAAACTCATTTATATAATATTACTAACATAAATTATTATTTTATATATTGATAGTGCATAAGTTTGTTTCCACAATAACTTTTAATCTATTATCATTTATATTAAATTAATCTTTTAATGAGTTATTATTCTATCCGATATGATTATTACACCCTCAGTTTTGAAAAATAAGTTTAATTTATTGGAGAAAAATTGTATGCAATTTTTTGTGTCCAGGAATATTATAATTTTGATTCATATTAACTTTTTTTATGTGATATTTTAATTATTTTTTCAGATTGTATTTATATAGAGTCTAAGCTTATTTTATAATTTCTATAATTTATGCTGGTGAATTAATTTAAATAAGAATTAGATTATTGTTTCAATCATACTTTAATATAATTGATGCTACATTAATATAATTAATATAAACGTGATCATCAAAATTTTATTTTAATTTCTTGAGTAAGAGTCTATGAGACATATTATACTGTTTTTAATAGTAATACGAAATCTTTTTATCCTAAAGAAAAGATCAAATAATCTAAACCACTGGACAAGTTTTCAATTCACCTTCCAGTAATGAGACCGCCGCTGGAGCTTACTTGCAGGTTGCTGATCTTATCTTGAACTGCAATATTTTTTTTCTTCATTTAAGATTGCTGTTATCATAGCTACCGAGAAACACAACGCTTAACCGCTGTGAAGTATCTTGCAGTTGTAGCCATGAAGATCGGGAACATCAATCCCAGGTGGTTCATGTTTTCAGTGTTGTTCTTGTTCATGTGTTTGTCTCATGAATTCCATGTCTGCTTCGCAGTTGATACCATCTCCACTAACCAATCTCTTTCTGGCAACCAAACCAAGTTGTCTCAGCTGGCGGAGTCTTCGAGCTTGGTTTCTTCAGAACGGGAAATTCCTCCAACTATTATATAGGGACGTGGTACAAGAAGGTCTCCCGGTTCACTCCAGTTTGGGTTGCAAACAGAGAAAAACCAGTGCATGATATATATTCTTCGGTTTTGAAAATCTCTGATGGTAACTTGGTTCTGTTCAACGAGTCCCGAGTGCCAATTTGGTCTACAAATGTAAGCTCCGGCCCAGCCATCTCGAGTTCAGTAGTAGCAGTGCTTTTAGACGACGGGAATCTTGTTTTGCGAGACGAACTGAATTCGATTTCGTCGACGATACTGTGGCAAAGTTTTGATCATCCGACAGACACCTGGCTGCCGGGAAGTAAGCTTAGATTCAATAAACGAACCAATCCAAGCCAACGTATTATGTCATGGAAAAGTCATGATGATCCTGCACCAGGTCTGTTCTCTTTTGAAATAGATCCTGCAGAGACTAATAAAGTCTCTTTAGTATGGAACAGGTCCCAATTTTACTGGTTCAGTGGAGCTTGGGATCCACAGACAATGAGCTTCAGCTTAGTTCCAGAAATGAGAATGGCATCGCTGTCGAATTCGACCTACAACTTCAGCTATTCTTCAGAAGAGAACGAAAGCTATTTCCTTTATTATTTTTATAACTCTTCTACTATAGCTAAACTTTTCATGGATGTGTCGGGACAGCTTCAGGAGATGTCATGGTTGGAAGATATGGAGCTAGGCTTGTAAATGAACTGAACGTTCAGCGAACCGTTCTTGAACCGTGCGGCAAGAAGTTTGTTTATGTGCGTTTATTTATTAAATGAACGAACATGAACAAGATTTTGTGTTCGTTTAATTAAATGAACGAACATGAACATATGTCTCGTTCGTTCATTTACGTTCGTGAACGTTCGATTATGTTCGTTTATGTTCGTTCGGTTATGTTCGTTTATGTTCATTCATTTATGTTTAACCCAATCTTCTTAAATCAATTTTGGTGACCAATTTGTAAGTATCTTAAAAATATTAATTAATTTGATATTCTGATGACCAACTCCATAATTAACCCAATTTTATTTGGAAAACCCAACAATATTAACATGGTTTAGTTCTTTTTGAACGATCCATAAGCTGCATACCCAACACCGTCAACATCCACTGCGCCGGAACCCTATGTGACTGCGCCACCAGCTGGTTATCCGATGAGCAAAGAGGAGTCCTAGAAACCGGTTGCTTTCGAAACCAAGTCCAAAGGTGATGGATTCCGGAAGGGATGTTAAGTATTAAGCACCGTTTCTTCTACTCAAATAATCTTCTTTTCTTTCATATATAATGGAGTATTCAAATTTACAAGTAAATAGTGATCAACCAGCAACTCAAGTCAGCTTACTTTGAACTCAAGAACCCAATAATGGTGAGGCCTTATTCCATAGGTTGAGAAGTTCTTTAACGCGTTTCATCAAACAAATTTTGTGCGCCATCCGGATATGGAAGTTTAGCCAGCCGAGAATGAATGGTTTTTGATGTATGAGTTGGTGTGAACAATAAACCAACCTACTTCTCTCATCTCCCAATTTTCAACTTCTACATAACATGAAGCTAAGGACATGTTTGTTTGATCCCCAAGGATTAAGGTCGGCAATCACATGAAACACAATTTGTGTTCATATCGACTGTTGTTGAAGGAGAGAGGAAGAAAGAAAGTGGAGGAACGTTATGTAATCCCACATCAGTAGCAAACAAGCAGCTCGGGGTTGGTAACTTATATAAAAGAAGATGGGGGAGAATAGGTTTAAGCATCTTTGTGCTTGGGGCAATGTCGAGCTTGAATCAAGTTCAGAATCGAGCTTGAATCGAGCTCGAGTCTCGAGTTTTAATCGAGATCTTAATTTTTTTTGAGTTCGAGCATTTTTGAGTTCGAGTCGAGTTTCAATATTATATTTCGAGTTCGAGTCGAGCTTGATAATTTTAAGCTCGCGAGTTTTCGAGTCGAGCTGACTTTGAAAGTTTTCGAGTTCGAGTCAAGCTCAGCAATACTCGAGCTCGACTCGACTCGTTTACACCCCTAGGTAGGGTCTCCAACTTTTATGTTCATTTATGTTCATGTTCATTTATGTTCGTGTTCGTTTATGTTCGTGTTCGTTTATGTTCGTGTTCATTTAAAACGAACATGAACAAGTTATATTCCTTAATAAACGAACATGAACAAAAAAAATTTGTTCGTTTATGTTAGTGTTCGTTTATTTATTAAATGAACGAACATGAACATACCTCCGTTCGTGTGCGTTCGGTTCGTTTACAGGCCTATATGGAGCAGTGGATGGTGCAATTTTCACAACCAAGACACCAATGTGGGGTATATGCTTTGTGTGGGGCTTTTGGCAGCTGCAATGAGATATATTTGTCGTTTTGTAGTTGTTTGACTGGCTTTCTGCCGACTTCTCAACAGAATTGGAACCAACAGGTTTATTCTGATGGTTGTGTAAGGAAGACGAAACTGCGATGCTGGTGTCGGTGTCGGAATCGGGGACCGATTTTTAGAGAGCCGCAATACAATTTTCCCTACACATCCACAGACTATGATGGATGTTAGCAGCATGGAATGCAAGTCAACCTGTCTAAAAAATTGCAATTGCACTGCCTATGCTTTTGAGAACAATCAGTGCTCAATCTAGATAGGAGATCTCTTGAATCTGCAACAACTTGGACAAGAGGATAATATAGGGAAAGTTCTGTATATCAAGTTAATCGTTGATAATGAATCTAGTCCCACAAATAAGAAGAAGGTGATTGTAGTTGCGATTGCGGTTTCAACTGGACTACTCCTTTTAGGCCTTATGATGTTCATAATGTTGAAAAAATAAAAAAAACCACATGGGCTACTAGATAACAATCGGTGGCTTTGAAAAAAAATAATTAGCCAATTTTGTTGAATATTTGCTAAAGGGGATAATTAAATTTAATCACTATACTTTAGGGTATTTACAAGATTAGTCCTTAAGCTTCACCTATAAATACCCTATCCCATTTAGTTTCAAAATCATCCCAAACTATTCTAACTTTCTTCTAATACTAGAGAATTTAGAGAGTTTCTTGAGAGTTATTTTCTCCTTTTTATCAAGAGAGAATTATCATTGTTTTCTCCTTGGTAGATGGAGAGAAGTTGTAATTCCTATTTTCTCATAGTGAAATTCTTCTACCGTTGCCCGTGGTTTTTACCCTATATTATTTAGGGGTTTTCCACGTAAATTTTGTGTCTCTTTTATCTTCATTTTTATTTTCTCAAATTATTACTTGCGATTTTGCTCTATCCGATAGTCGTCTTCCGCAACAATTGGTATCTGAGCCAGATTAGAGTGTATAATATCTGCTTATTGTCTTTGTGGTTGCCACTAAAAGGTGGATCCTCCAACATAAGAAAGTAAGAAGGTATTACCCATTGTTTGAAGGTTCCAAAGAACTATTCACGATAGTGAAATAGTGGGAGCTATCCGTAAAAGAAGCTATGGCAACGAAATTTGATATTGAAAAATTCAATGGGAGAAATTTCTCATTGTGGAAATTGAAAATGAAGGTCATCCTAAGGAAAGACGGGTTGTCTAGCAGCTATCAGTAAAAGGCCGATAGATTTCATAGATGACAACAAATGGATCGAGATGGACGGGAATGCTATGACAAACTTTCATATAGCATTAGCAGATGAAGTATTGTCAAGCAACGAGGAGAAGAAGACAGCTAAGGAGATATGGGATCATCTCACCAAACTGTACGAGGCCACATCACTG